GATTGTAGCCTGTTGCTTCCTTCTAGTGTGCCCACATCCCCCCACATCTTAGTGTCATCAGCAAATTTGAACAGGGTGCTTTTTACCCCCTCGTCCAAATCACTGATGAAGATGTTGAACCGTGCGGACCTGAGGACCGAGCCCTGCTGAACCCCACTGCCCACGTCCTTCCAGGTTGAGAAGGACCCATTCACTACCACCCTCTGGGTGCAGCCCTCCAGCCAGTTGGTGACCCATTTGACTGTGTGGGTGTCTACACCACAGCCCCCCAGTTTCTTAATGAGAATGGGGTGAGAGACAGTGTCAAAAGCCTTCTGGAAGTCCAGGCTTGGACCAGGCTTGTTCCTCTCTTCTGAGCTTCCCCCCCAATGAAGCCACTTAGGGCTGCAGAAGCTGCTCTGTGCTGAGGGAAGAACCAACACCAGCAGCACAGAAACGTTTCTTCTATTGGCCACCTGCTGTGACTACAAGCATCTCCAAGTACAAATGGCAAAATGTCTGAATAGTTGGCCTGCTGCCTACTTAGCATAACTTCACTTTAAAAGCTGACTTTTGTCTTTTATCATTGCTATGTATTTTATTTCTATTTGATTTCTTTTTTTAAATTTTGTAACCATTTCAGTTTCAAGCAAAACGCCAATGAAAAGTGGAACTGTTCAGTCTTGAATAGCATTCTTATTTACACATACCTAACATTGGTAGTTATCAAAATTAATTAGTTTTTTAGAATTCAATTTCCTTGTTTCACTATAACAGTTAATTAACTTTTTTGTAATTAGGAAAAGTGTATCTAATCTACTTACATGGGTGGATCCAGGATTGGTGAGGGGATGTGTTCACCGCCCCCCCCCTTCAGCCTGTATGCCTAGCAAACTCTCTGAGCTCATCAGCATGTCAGTGCAGCTCTTACTGGACATGCCATGTGATCTCTGAGTGCATAACCTGATCAGCATGAGCTCTGGCTAGAGTCCCTGCTGTTGGGTAACTCCAGTGCCCAGGGGGTGAGTGCTGCCACTGCCCTCCCTTCCCCCTGGCTCCCCTTTTCCCCTGATGAATTCAGCAGCAAGGTAAAAGAGAGATGGGCAGCAGCACTGAAACCCTGGGCTCCAGAGCTGCATGAAAGAAGGAGCTCTGGACCAAACCCGTGCCAATCAGCAGATGAGCTCAGAGCTCACAGTACATGCACAGCTCTGGCAGGAACTGTGCTGGCATACTAGTGAGCTCAGAGAGCTCCTTGCATATGCACCACACAGCCAACAAGGCATACATCTGCGCTGCTGGACCTCTCTTGGATTGGCCTACTGAAAATTAAAGCCTCTCTAGCCACTGTTCTAATAAATTACTTCTTAAAATATTTTAACATTATATATTTGACCAGTAAAATGCTCACCCCTAATATATGCTATCCTTTTTTTCAAATACATACCTCAGCAAAAACAAAGGCAGCATCAAACTGGAAGCAAACATGACCATGTTTAATGGCTTGCACTGAAGCAGGACCACATCTATACATACCTGAAGAAGGGGGAATGAAGAAATTTAATCTTAAATAACTAGAAAGTGCTAGATTTTGGTAGGGGGAAAAATCATTTAGCCAAAGCCATTGGCCTAAAATAATACAAGAAATGAAAAGATAAGCTTATAGGACCAGGAAGAACCCATCTTCTCTGCTGTTGTCTCCATGCAAGGACATATAGGGCATAACCTTCCATTGACATAACTACTACAAAGACCAAATGTTCCACCTGAGACGCATGCAGCACTGCAAGTGCATTTCTGACCCATGCGGCAGAGATGTGATGCAGCACCAAAGCTGCTTGTTAATGTTCATAGAAACTTTCACTTCCCTTTCTCTTTCAAGATCTCAGCTCCATCAATATTATATGCACTGATTTCAGTGAGACCACTTGTAAAGTATTCAATGCAGTAATGTTACCAGGATCCAAATTTGCCGCAGAACAGGTGGAATGCAGATGTGTCAGCACAAATTTGCTGTGTTGTCCCACCAACATGCCTCAGTTCTGAGTATTCTAAGTGCCAGGTATTTGGCAGATAATCTAGTGTGGACAGGTTTGTTTTTGTGACATTTTTTCATGGTCTTGTTTTCAGTCTCATGTGGAACAAAAAGAGTACACTGAAACCTAGACAGTTTTCATGGAAATGGAATTTTTATTTTCTGGCCATCTTCATTAATAAACTGTGGAACAAGAAGTTAAAAGCTCAATGTTCCATTACCAACCCTGCAATCCAGTGCCAATTCTGAAGCTATGTAGCAGCTTGGTAGCAGAGGCTAGAATAGACATTACCAAATGAAGCAGATCAGTTATACTGTGATGTGTCAGGGCACAGCTGATCTGCTTCACTGAGTGAAACACATATTGCTCCCTTGATCCTGCAGGACAATGGGTAATATGATCTCCCTGCTTTTCCTACTCAGCCAGACCCAACCCACATGACTGGGTGTTCACGAAACTGATTTTCTTTAGGTGTGGTGAGAAAACAGCATCTATTTGCTCACAATTTGTGCAACTATAAAAAAAAAAAAAATCAGGTTGATCAATTCTGGAGCTCAAAATGGCCCATGCAGAGGCCAAGGATGGATATTTCAACCAAAATGTTGCCACAGTTGTGATGGATCCAGCCTACCACAACAAGTAGATTTGCCATCAGAAAGAATGCTGTGAAGAATGCTTAGGACCATATGCAGGATTACCATCACTGGTTTCTTGAGGAGTGCCATCCACAGCCTGCCACCCTCCAAATCCAACAGGAAGATCAGGTCTGGACATCCAAGCCTCATTCCAGCAGTGATAGTTCCTTTAACAGGAGAACCAAGGAGAATATTAGGCTCTCAAGTATAAATATAAATGCCAACAGAAACTGTGTCGCAATATCCCACTAATGGAGTGAAAAATCTGGTAAAACTGCTGAGTTAAGCATTTTAAGCTTCAAAGAATATATCTTCAATCTGGTGTCTGATAATGCTTGGTGAGGAGTGCTGCTTTTTGCCTTCCCTTCAGTTCTCTTATCCTCAGGCTGCTTGATTCCAGTCTACTCCCAAGACCAAAAAAAAAAAAAGAACTCTGAAGCTCCCTTATATCATGCTGAATGCAAGGCACCTAAAAGGAGATTCTGGTAACTGAGACAAGGCTACATTAGGCACAAAACCCTTTTAATTAGTCCCCAAGGGGGCAAGGGAATAGGGATTGTTAGAAAGCTCTGTCAGTGAAGAAATCTTTGGCTACCTACTTAAGACAGCTCTGAGGCCTACTCTGTGCCATGGGAGTAGTATAAAATGGACTTAGCAAGGCTTTGGATTTGGAATTTTGTAAACCCGCTGTGCAACTTCCAATATCCATAACTCAGTTCCTCGATACCTCGATTTCCTTGATTAAAAACAAGCATTTTGGCCTGTTTTCTGTTGAATGTTCCAGGTGAAGGTTTAACACTGGACCCCACATGGGATTTGATCAAAAGATTTCCCTGACACCCAGACATCACTCCTGATTGCTTCAGATGGAAGACAAACTTTTAGAGAGGGATTTTCACGTTAGGGCCAACCTAAAGCAGTATACTTTGTACAGATTCACCACCTCTCTCTCAGTAACATTGCAGAGGGAAGAGAGACACCTTCTGCATCACCAATGCCCTGCTACATTTTCCCATGAAAATAAAAACCAGCTCAGCTGTCTTAGTTTGTAATAAGCTCACGGACTCCAGTGCTAGTGCTGACAAAAGAGAGGACATATCTCCAGGGACATATGGCATATCTCTACAGGTCAGGTTCAAAAGCATTTAAGGCTGCATCCAGGCAAGCGCAGCAGTGTGGTATGTGATGCACAGACATGTCTGTGGCACCCCATTTTACACATTCAGTTGTTCTCTGTGCTGCAAGAGAGCAGCACGGAAGGATTTCTTGACCCCTGGATATCCAGGGGTTAAAAAAAAATGGAAAAAAAATGTGGAGTGGAACATGCACTGCCCAAAGCTGGAGCTGGACCCCAGGAATGGTCCCAACTGGGCTGGTCCCCCGGAAGTCCAGGTAAGGCTGCTGGGGCCAGCCAGCATCTCCTACCCCACCCAGGGTAACTTGCCACATGCCAGAGCACGCATGGCACAGGCGTTCCCTGGGGACAACTAGCGGTGGCACACGGTGCATCGCCACTAGTTGTCCCTGAGGAACAAAATGTCCACGTACATCTGGACACAGCCTAAATGGTTAAACTAGACTTGAAATGCCCTCAGTTGACTCAATGCTTGGGAAAAAAAACAGAACACCAGAGTCATCTCACATAGAATGTCCAAAATGTTTAAAAAATGAACAGACCTAAAGAGAAAGATTGGTTCTGTAGCTTTCTTCTTGCAATTTTTTCAAACTCAAGGGAGAGCATAAAAAATAAAGGAAAACCCCAAAAGAAGTTTCTTGCAACTGAATTGATCAATTGTTTCAGTTTCATTACTGCAAAAAAAGGGAGGGGGAGTGTGAAAGGGAAAGGAGCATTTTTAGAATTTTTCTCCACTTTTCTTTGCAAATAATTTTTACCCTGCTGCAGATATGAACAAATGACATCCATGTAGTGGTTGACACAGCAACACAATGATATTAGCAATAAAGCCCAAACCAAAATGGGGGTTCTTAAACTCTGACCATTTCATTAACAGGTCAAAAAACAGGGATGGTATGGAATCAGAGGGATCTGAGGCTTCTCTAACAAGACATTTCAAAGTGGAAATGAAAGCCTGGATCAGAGAAAAACTTGTCAGTTAGGAGAGCTAATGAAGCAGAGCTATAGGAAAAAGAATTATTCAAAGCAAGTGACACACACTTCTAGAATTTTTATGCTGCTAAGAGCGATTAATGCTGAATCATCCTTGTAGAACTTGGACAATGGCTAGCAGTAGGAAGTGCTATATATGCTAGGTGGGTTTTGGAAAGTTGTTATGATACACAAGCCTGTCTTGAATACTTGAGTTTAGTTCAAATGTTATTGGCTTTGCATTCTATAAAAGTGCCAAAAAAAAGGATTGGGTAGTGGGCACAATAAACACGGTAGTGTAATTTAGTAGTTAGACAACAAAATAGAATATCTTTGATTCTACTCTTTTTAGGGCAGAGATTGTCTGCTTTAGGTTTGCATAGTATTTGGCACCATGTGGAATCCTAGGGTATTTCTGCAGGGACAACACAACACTATGTAGTGAAACCCATGCTAGCTCTGAACAAGCTGGCATGTCTACAGTGTATAGTACAGTGCCAGGCAGAGATATTAATCTGGGTCTTGGAGCCCACATAGGCTGAACCATATATGCTGTGCTTGGCCTGGTCAAATTATCTTTGTTTCAGCACTGTCTATGTGTGGTTATATTGTTGCCAGTTGTAGAGTTAGTTTTTTCAGAGCTCAGGTATCTCCATATGGTGCTGCATTGCACCATGTAGATATAGCCCTGCCCACTGTCATAATATAAAACACTAACAACAGCAGCAATAATAATAATGATGATAATGATCATGGGTGAGAGAGAGAAAGAGAAAGATATTAACTTATGCCAGCCTAGGTTTTGGAGGATTCTTTTATCACAAAAAAAGTAGCCTAGACTTCCCCCTTGCATAAGTGGCCCCAACTGAGGATTTAATCCTATTAAAATAATTTTGTAAATTGATGTTGTACTCTTGTACCTAAACCAAACAGAGACATTAAGGATTGTGTGAATGACTGTGCAGATCAATGTAGTGACCATAAAATATTTACAAAGATAATTACAAGTAGGCTTAACAAAGCAATAGGGAAATTAATAAAAAATGACCAGGTGAGTTTTATGCCTGGCAGCACATTGAAATGGTTGTCATGGGTGATTTCCACCACCCTGACATCTCATGGGAAGAGCATTCAGCTAAATCTAATAGGTCAAGCAACTTCCTGCATTGATGAGCTTCATCTGACTCAAGAAGTCCATGGGCTGACAAGGGGTGAGGTGCTGCTAGACCTGGTTCTGGCCAAAGGGGATGATCTAGTGAGCGACCTGAGGATTGAAGGGAAGCTTGGTGATCACGAGTTGATCACTTTCTGTATCCATCCACTTTTCTCTATCCATTTGCAAAGCTGGCAAATCAGTCAGCAATGCAGAAATCCTTGACTTTAGGAAAGCTGACTTTCACAAGTTCAGGAGGTTGGTTGTTGAGGCCCTGAAAGATCATGATCTGAGAGGGAAGGGAGTCCAAGAGTTGTTCCTTAAGGATGCAATTCTAAAAGCACAAGAGAAGTCCATTCTGCCCTTTAGGAAAGGTAGTAAAAGGGCTGGGAGATCCCCTTGGCTCAAAAGGGAACTCATGGGCCTCCTGAATCTTAAAAGAGAAGCCTGTATGGGTCGGAAATACCTCTAAGGAGGATTACGCATCACTGGCCCGCACTTGTAGGAAGCAGATCAGAAAAGCCAAAACCAAGCTCAAACTGGCTATGGAAATTAAGGACTGTAGCAGGGCACTAAGGTGCCTGCTACTGGAAAAGCAGCAATATGGGCTCAGGTGCTGGTTGCTAGGGGCAACCAGGAGGAGCTCAGGGCTCACACCTGGTGAGTCAGCTGACTGGAAGGGGCAGAGCTGACTACTATAAGACCCAGACAGGAGGCTGGGAGTGCTCTCTCTCTCTCTGCCCCTGCTGGAAGCCAGGAAGGAGGAGTACTGCCTGACTAAGGGAAAGAGATCGACCCTGAATTTGGGAAAGAGAATAAGGCCTGAATGTACCAGCCACTAGTTAGATGGGTGAGAGATGTGGCATGGTTTTGAGAATGTTTAGCCATGAGGTTTAGCTTTGTGTTATAGCCCAGGGGCTTGTGTTATTGTTTGTTGTTGTTGTTACACCAGAGGACTGGGTGAGGCTATTAGGGGATGGAGGAGGCCTCATAGGGGCTTCACGGTAGCGTGGGGACCCCGGTGCCAGAGAGGGCACAGCATTTTGGGGTGCATTGACCCCAGCCCCAGTGTGGGCAGTTGCGAGAAGCCCCAAAAAGTGGACAAGCCAGGGAGTGCCAGTGGGGGCGGAGGCTGCAAGACAAGCCAGGGAGCACCAGTGGGGGCGCAGGCTGCGAGACAAGCCAGAGAGCACCAGCGGGGTGCGGAGCGTGGAATCGACAAAACAACATCTGGTACATCTGCAAGGCTTGGGGCGTGGTACCGGGGGCGTTGGAGCCACACATAGCCCATAAGGCTGGGGTGCACCGAGTCACCCAAGATAGAACACAGACTGGGATACATCAGGGCACCGTGTCAGAGAGGACTAAGGGCACCCTCCCTTAAACATTGTTAACATCAAAGACGTGGCAGGAAAGATGGTGAGGGTGCTTTAAGACCGATTTGGCATGGTAGGGGGTGCTAGGGGAGATCACGGCAACCCTAGGACCCTGCGCTGCTACAAGGACAATAAAAAGTCCTTCTTCAGGTATGTGGGAAGTTGAAAGAGAAATAAGGACAACACTGGACCCCTGCTGAACCAAATGGGGCAGCTGACATCCGACACCCAGGAAAAAGATAATCTTCCTAATGACTACTTTGCATCAGTTTTTCAGCAGCCCAAGGAGATCACCCTGCCTGACAGGACACAGGATTACTAGGGAACAGGTGACCATATGCCTACATTTGGTGAAGACCTTGTGATGGAACACTTTTAGAGGCTGGACATCCATAAGTCAGCAGGCCCTGATGAAATGCACCCAAGAGTCCTAAAAGAGTTGACTGATATCATAGCGTGACCAATGGCAAGGATATTTGAGCGCTCATGACACTCAGGAGAGGTTCCTGAAGATTGGAGGAGGGCCAATAT